CAGTCAGGTTTCCAGTAAGGGTTCAGGCACTGGACGATGAACTGGGACATCTCTTTTCTGAATACTTGTTTGCTTTTCTTAGCCAGTTCACTGGAGGCGTCTGCTTCTGCTGTCTTAGGCTTTTTTGAGGTCTTCATGGGATTTTCATCATATGTTGGGGTTCCCAGGTCCATCTCAGCTTCATGCTCAAGGCTGGCATCATCTCCTGGGCTTTCCCAAGTAGGAGGATCCCACTGAGTCTGCCTTGTGATCACATGGTAGTAGTAAATCTTCCCTTCTGGGTCTCGGGCTGTCTTCCAGTTGGGAGGTAAGACAATGGTTTTTGGTTTGGGAGGAGATGGGGGTGGTAAGTCCAAGAGGTTATTTGTCACAACCATTTCAGGTGGCTGGAAGGGCTGAGGCTGCCCTGGTGCAACTATTGTAGTCACGGCTGTGGCTGGCTGTACCACCACTCCTCGTGGGTGAGCTGTGAGAATCTGCTGTCCCTGGATGTACTGAAGACTTGGCTGGGCATAACCCTGTACAATTGGTGGAGTTGTCTGTGAATAGGGTGACGTCACACCACAGACAGTTGGAGCAGCCTGTCCTTGATAATATAAGGTTGCTTGAGACTGTGCAGGAGAGTACTGCTGCTGTACACTCACGGACTGTTGGTTTGAATCCCAAACACCATAATTCTGTCCCTGGACTGGGCCTGGGGCTGGCAGTGGCAGGACGGTGACCCTGGAGTCTTGGTGTACCACACCATCACTTTGGGCCACATACTGTGAACTGGAAACTTCCACATGTGGCACCATGGGCACAGGTGGAGGGGCAGCAAGGGGTTCTGTAGAATGTCCCACCAAGGGCTGAGGATAATCATAAGGAGAAGGAGAACACACAGGATCCATGCTGGGTGTGGGGAGGAGCACCTTTCCAGCATTAAGATTGCTGGGATCCACATAGGCCTGCATGGGGTAACCTGGTGGGTAGCCAGCAAAGGGGTGATGAGGGGCATGGTAGCCAAGAGAGTCACAGGGCAGTGGAGACGCCATTCCCAGGTTCTGCAGCTGCTGCTGTTGTTTTTGAACCTCCCGCTGAGCTACCTCCTGCTCAAACAACTTTCAACGCTCCTCTGTAGAAAGTTGATTGCGATCTTGAATTCGTACTTTCTTTTTAGAAGTTGGTGTATCATATCTGCTACCTGGCCTTTTTGTTCCCCGCTCATAGGCAGAAGGTGGTGGTGAGAGGGAGCCCCTTCGTTTCCTTTTCTCTTTATTTTGAGTTTGTTTGTCTGGGTCTCTCTCTCTTGACCTGTTAGGAGTCTTTGGGGCAACTGTTTGATCTCTGAAGCCCAAAGCATCCCTTCCTCGTTCGGTTACTGTGCTCTCCTTTTCAGTTTGCCTTTTCTTTGGAATTCGATATACCTCCTTTAGGTCTTTCCAACTGTCCAGGAGCTTGGTGGCC